CTGGGGCTGGGTCTGGGGCAGCCAGCCCAACAAAAACACCCGTGGGTGGGGGTAGCATAGTGGGGGTGGCCAGAACCTGTGCCCCTTCCAGTTTGGTGTGCAGGTGAGAAAGGGCTTGGGCTGTTCCACTCACCTGTTTTTTTCTGGATTCATAATGTTTTTGGGGCAATGCAGGCAGGGACAATGAGGGCATGGTTTTCCCCAACACTGAGTGGGTTTTTCCTTGTCATGGTTGGGCCCCGCCAGGGCTTCCGCTGCCCTCTTCCAACCCCAGTGACTTCTTTTCCAACCCCAAGTCTGTACACAAGTACCAGGTGCTGGCGAGAGGGCAGTGGGTCACCCCAGTGTGCCACTGGGGCAGCCCCCAAACACCCAGGGATGCTGGGGCCAGGCTCTGGAGCAGCAGCCCCATGATGAACTCCATCTGTATTCCATAGGCAGGGGCTGCTTTGCTGTGCAGGCAAGGAAGGGCTTAGGCTGCTCCACTGCCCTTGTTTGCTTTGGGATCACCCTTATTGTGGGGGGCAGTGCAGGGGGAAGGGAGAAAACCTGGGCTTCCCTCACCCGTGGGTAGGATTTTCCCTGGCATGCAGGGGTTGGGTCTTCCTCAAGACCCTGACAGACAAGATTTTTTACCTTTTTTCTTGTTTCCCCTTTTTGTCTGTAATCTCTTTTCAATAATTTGTTTTTCTAGATGAAGCATTCTAGGTGGGGTCCAGTCTGGATCGGGAAGTTCGCTGAGGCTGCTCTGGGCTCTGCCAGGGCTCTGCTGGAGCTCAGCACTGGGCCGGAATCGGCCAAAGAAAAAATGGTGTCAACTGCAGCACAGACTTGCTTGAGCATTTTGGCAACACAGCTCAAGCTTGCAGAGTGGACACCTCTAAAGGAAAACATGACACCTCCCAAAAATTAAACTTGTTCAATAACTTCTGAAATGGTATCAATTTGGGATGACCCCAAATGACATTTTTCAACTTGCTCAAGCTGTAGCTCAGCTCTTTTCTGAGCAGTTCTCTCCCCCACCTGCCTTTTACTTCCCAGCTGCTCCCTCTTTTCCCCCAGTGAGTTCCTAGCCCTTCACAGTCTCCATCACACTGTTGCCTTCCTTGGTGCCCCTTGCCATGAGGAAGGCTAGGCCTCAGGGTTAGGGACACATCCTGACACTTGCTGAGGAGCAGCAATGTCTCAGCAGATGTGTGGGATTTTAGTGTCATTCAGAGCCACTCTCCAGCCCTCAGCTCTCCTCACTGCTGAGCTCCCACTCCCTTTTCCTGGTCCTTGCAGCAGGATGAGCTCTGTGGATCCCCTCGAGACTCTGCACCACTTCCCAACCCACACACCCCCCTCATTGAGGCTGAAGCTGAAGCTTCTCTGTCTCCTCTGGCACTCCAGTCCAGTCCCCTGTGTGGGGAGCCCCAGTCCCAGAGCACAGCACACAGCAGTGCAGTCCGGGCTGGAGCAGCTGCCCTGCAGCCCTGGCTTGGCTGTTTGTGGCAGCTGAATGCTCCCTGTTTCCAGCTGTCCCTGCAGGATGGCCCCAGGGCAGAGCCCAGCCGGGCTCCCACTGCAGCCCCTGGAGCTTGGGGCAGACAGTGCTCCCAGAGCTGAGGTTCACGGGGAGCACCCGGAGCTGTGCCTCGCACTCTGCTGCCGTGTGTCACAGCACAGGCTGGCTTGTACTGTGTGACTGTATCAGCCCCTGGTGTGACAGACAGGGCCTTACCCACTCACATCTCTCCCAAGGCTGCAGCATTTCACTGGCCAGAACCTGAAGGGGCGTAGAGATCAGACCAATGACATTTTCCAGACTGGGTTTTTCAAAGGCCCTTTCTAAGGAAGGGCTGGAGAATAAACGCTATTTGCCACATGAACACCGGGGTGAGTGGTCTCTTTGTCTCCAACCCACTCCCACCCCCGGGCCAACACTACAGCCACCCAGTCCCTCACACATCCCCCTTGTGCCTTCCCACTGCCTTGTCCTGTCAGTGGTTCCACAGCCCCTCATCCCTTGGTGGCCTTGTCTGCTGAGGGTCTCCCCCAGCCCGGCCAAGCTGCTCAGCAGCAGCACTGCAGCCCCACAGGAGCTCCAGAGGAGCTCCATCAAGAGGCACCTGGGAGCCCTCAGCAATCCAGCCAGCAACACACGGCCAGGAAGACACGGATGGCGGTTCCTGCCTGGGACAGGGCTTGTGCCCATCTCCAGGCACCGGTCTCACAGGGATCCCTGTGGCTCCAGCCTCTGCGCACCCGCTCTGTTGGCAGCACAAAGGCTTCAGCAAAACCACCAAAGGCCAAGGGGCTTCTGGCTATTTTCCCTGCCACACTGCCTGGGCAGCTTGCTGAGCCGAAGTACACTCTTCCCCCTCTTCCCCTATGCCTTGCAGACCCTGGGCAGCAAAATAAAGATTCTGAGAGTCTGTCTATTACAACACATCCTATATTTATATGCTAAAACAGAACTAAAAGAATGAAAGAACAATGTTTTAAAAAAATCAAAAATTCCCACTGGCTCAGGTGGACAGAGTCTCTGGGATCAGCTCTCTGCAGAGCTCCAGCAGCGCAGACAGCCGAGCCCTGACAGATGAGGCCGTGTTCTCCATGCCCTGCGGAGCTGATTATGCAGGTTATCGAAGATGGAATACCGACCTCTCTCTACTGCCTGGAGGACATACAGTGTTTGAATTGCCAGGTTTCCAACAGTGGTGCTGATGTCATTTCCCATATCTTCAAGGGCTAAAAGAGAGAGGAACAGAGCCATGGTCAGATCCCAGAGCTGAGGGGACCCGAGGAGAGCCCCCTGCCAGGGCCATCCCAGCCCACTCTAGCCATGGCCAGGAGGGAGCAGGGACCAAGGGGCTCAGCCCGAAGCTGCTGGCCACGAATGCCCCAGGTGGCCCTGAAATCTCTGTGTGCTCTGCCCACGCCGGCCCTCATCTGCACAGGGCCGCGTCCCTGTGCCAAGGCCTGGAGGAGGCTGCAGCCCGGCAGGCGCCAGGGCAGGAGGCGACCAAGCCCCCTGCCAGGGGACAGCAGCAGCCCATGAGTCCTCACCTCTGCCACACGCTGATTCTCATTGTGGCAGTGGAAGAAGAGTGGCAGCAGGCTCTGGCGCAGGTGTGTCTTTAGGGCCTTTTTTTCCTTTTCCTGTGGAAGAGTCACCAATGTTCGGAAGAGGAGTATGGAGAGCAGCTGCACCTGGCTATAGTCCTGTATGAAAGGAAGAAAAAAAGACCTCAGCATCAGCTGCACAGGGCTCAGCTTGGTGCAGACCTGCAAATCCACAGGGCACAAAGTGTCTGAGAAGCACCCAGTGACTGTGGCTGGGGGCAGTGAGCCTTACATGGTCAAAGAGTGGCAGGAGCGCCTCAACCAGCTGCAGTGTGATGGGGCCGGCTATCAGCGTGTCATTGTCCAAGATAATAAAGCTGAGTAGCATGACAGTCATGCTAATTATCTCTCCATCTGTGTCCTGCAGGAGCTCCACAAGGCTTTCAGTCAGGCTCCACATTTTTTCAGTCTGTGCAGAACACAAGTTTGTGAAACGCCATCCATCCTGCTGCCACAGAGCCCAGACCTAAAGGTCTGTCCCGAAGCACTCGGACAGCTGAACTGGGAGGCAGGAGAGCTAGGAGCAGCTGCCCCAGTGCACAAAGCCCAGCCAAGCCCAAGCAACTGCATTCCCCAGCACAGCCTCAGTTGCTGCCCCCTTCTCACCATTGAGGGATCGTCAATGAGCTCGAGAAGGGCCCTGAGTGCCAGGTGACACCTCTCCCTGCACTCGCTCTGCAGCTGCCTTGACAAGATTTGCAGGACTCTGTTAGCACCATGTTCACTCAAGTCCAGCAACTCGAGGACCTGAAAGGCACAGGGCAGTGTCAGGGGACCCGGCCAGCAGGAGCTGGAACCGCACAGGACTGGGCCCAGGCAGCAGCACAGGGCACGGGCACCGTCCCGGGCAGCTGCGGCTACGAGAGGGCAGAGAGCTGGGAGGCAGTGCTGGCCATCAGGCTCACCTCTGCAAGGAAGGCCAGGGCGGGCAGCTCCCAGCGTGGCTCCTGTGTGCTGAGCAGCCGGAGCAGGTAGCGAGTAATCCGAGAGCACAAGGGGATGGAGACACAGGACATCTCCCTGGCAGGAGAAAAAGTCACCAAGACTGTGGGCCATGGGGACAAACCTGTGCCAGGACTGACTCACAGAGGTCTGGTCTTTCCCCAGCATCCTGCAAAAGACCCTGGGCTATTTGGGAGGCGGCTCCTTATGGGCACCCTCCTCTCCCAGCCTTATCCACTCTGTTTGGCCATCCCACAGTCAAGGCCCTCTGGCTCATGACCACAGGGACTGTGTGGAGCTTCCTGGGCACAGAGAACAAATGTCAGGGGCAGCGGGGAGAAGGGGGTCTCACCTGGCCAGCAGACCCACGGCATAGTGGTGGGTGTCAGCACACAGCAGCGTGTCCCAGCCACACTTGCGTTCCATTGCCACCACCACATCCTCATGCTGCATTCGGCAGAGCAGGGACTTCAGGGTCCGCACTGCAAACCTGCGTGCAGAGCAAAGCCCCGGTCACGCTGGAGCACTGGCTCCTGTTGGGGCTGGTGGCAAGGCCGTATTGCTGCTGGCATCCCTTCCAGAAGTTATCGACCTCCTCTGGCATATCCAGAGTGCTGAAGAACACTTGGAAGAGCAGATGCACAAAGAGGTGGGGGAAATACACCGTCACCATATGTGGGACGCAGGGCACCTGGAGTATCTTCCACATCACCACAGTGGCCTGCAAAGGACAAAACCCCTCGAGACAGCGCTCAGTGCCGAGGTGTCCGTGTGGCAGGGCCTGAGCAGGGGAGGGAGAGGCCCGGAGAGACACAGGGGAGCAGGGGCCTGGTGCCCCTGAAGCTGCCCCGAGGCCAGGTTTCAGCCCAGCGCCTGAGGCAGGGAGAAAGCTGGCTGCCACTCTGCCACTGCCCACTGTCCCTCACCAGCAGCACCCAGGCAGCCCAGCCCTATGGGGACAGGCCCCTGAGGGGCCATGAGGGAGCATGGCAGCAGGCTCGGGGACTGACGTGCCAGGGCTGGCAAAGGGAGCAGCCAGAGGGCCCTGGAACTCTCTGTTGCTCAGACAGCTGGGACAGGCTGTACAGGCTGATGGGCTGGGGAGCCCTGAGCGCTCTGGGTAGGTGGGCCCCATACCTGTCACAGGATGGGGCCACACGCAGGAGTGTCATGACTACATCAGCGGGCTGGTCTTCAGTGAGATCCAGCAGTGTCCTGTTCAGCCTGTGCTCTGCAAACTGATTGGCCATGAGCCACTGGTGGATGTACCTGACCATGGCGGGCACCTGGAGAAGGCACAGGGAGACTTGGAAAGCTGCCAGAGGGAGGAATGTCCCCAGCTTCCCCAGAAAAGTGCTTCCCTTCCCACCACACTGCCATGGCCTCAAAAGCTTCCAGCGACCAGTGAGTGTGGCTTGGGAGGCCAAGCAATTCCTGGGAGGATCAAAGCCTAGCCACACGCTGCTTACTTGCTGTGGATTGGAAAAACCCTCCTCTACGAGCATATCCAGCAGGGCAGCACTGGTCTTGGTTTTGAAGATGGGCGAGTATGCTCTGAGCCCAGTGCCCATGGTGCTGGTCTCTTCCTCCCGAATTCTCTTGATGAATTTGCAAACCAGCTGTAGAAGAAGGGCAAGAAGCCAGGAATGTTCCACAGAATGCTCCAAGCATGGTGACAGCAGGCCCAGCTCAGGTGGGGATGGCTGCAGATACCTGTGCTGTTCTGCGGAAGTGGCCATGGGCAGGGTCCTGCTCTTGTGTGCGCTCCACGGCTGCATCTGGCAAAGAGCGAGTGCAGCCAGAGCTGAAGGGCTGCGGGAGAGGCCGGAGAACACAGCCCAGCCCTGCACTGCCCAGGCAGGGACAGCCCCGGGATGCCCCAGGGGATGGAGCATGGCTGCTGTGGGGTGTCTGCCCAGCCCCTCTTCCATCCTATGGGCATGTCTCCAGGGAATGGGATGCAGTGGGATGCAATAATGCCAAGCTGGCTGCAAGCACCAGTCCTGTGGCCCAGCTCTGCCACTCACCCTCCTGTGGCAGCTTGAGTGGCACCACCTCTTCTGTCTCCTGTGCTGGGGCAGCTCCAGGACCTTCTTCCTCCTCCTCTACCCAGGCCAGCTTGGGCACTCTTGGGGGTCTCTGCTCCATGTCACTGACTGGATTTGTGGCTGCTTGCAGGAGAGATGCCTCGGAAAAACTCCAAGTCAGCAAGTCCTGCAGTCATGTCTGGAAAGCACCTTCAAGACACAAGCCTCAGGAGGGCTACAGGACAGCACGTCCTGCACTCTAGTCTGGAGGCCTCCTGCCACAAGGGCAGGAGAGTCCTGTCAAGGATGGTGGTCTGGCCTCGAGGGCACTGGAGGCAGGGATGGGAGATGCCTCCAGGGCACCAAGGCTCACGGTCTGCCTTCGAGGGCACCTGCAGAAGAGAAGCCTCGGGAAAGCCACGGGTCACCAAGTCCTGTGATCTGGCCTTGAGGTCAGCTGCAGGAATAACACCTCAGAAAGGCTCTGGGTCAGACACGAACGAGTGCACTGTGAGGGGGCTCCTCACAGCACCGCTCTGTCTCATCCTGTCCCGTCGTGTGCTCCAAGCACTGTGGCATGATCTTGTCACCACCAGCTCCTATGTCACCACATGTCACAAAGGGCTCTTGGACACCTGTTCCATGGCATGGTGACCATGCTGCACCGTGTCACAAAGGGCCCCTGCACACACCACCCCTGCCCTGGAGCCATCCCCCAACCCACCCAAAGTGGCCCAGGTTGGAAGGAATCCCTGGCCCCAAGTGTCTAAGACAGCCCGACAGGGTCTTTAGGAAGAGCTCAAACCTTCAGCAAACACTGCCCTGCTCAGCAGAAGGAGCCCCCAAGGCTGCCGACACAGGCCCCCTGGGAAGGGCACGGGGCCTTCCACAGAAGCTGGCACGGCCTCCTTGGGACACGTCCCAGCTGGTGGCCATCCTAAACCAGCGGGTGTGACACAGACAAGGAACGTGTGGGCCAGAGCACAAATGCTGCTCTGAGCCCTGGGGCCCGGGGAGCGCTGACATCAGCAGGTGTGGCAGAGTCCCTGCCCAAGCAGAGCTGCCACCCCTCAGCCCTGGCAGCGCTGGTGCCTGTCTCCTGCCCCAGAGACCTGTGCCCCGGGGGCCCATGTGCACTGGGGGCTGTGCTCCTTCCTGCAGGGGCTGCTGGCAGGAGCACCTGGAGCAACTGCTGGCAACACTTGGTCTCAGTCAGAAGCTCTTACTCCATTCTGAAATTATTTTCTCAGTGAAGTAATTTTCTTCAGCACAAAAACACCTTAGTGGGGAAAGCACAGAAGAATCTGACATTTAACAAGCCTCACTTCAGGAAAGCTTTACTTCCCATTGCTCAACTCAAGTAGTTCCAAAAACTTGCAAACTTCCCAAATTGATTGGGATGGCCTGAGAAGGTGAAGAGTTGGAATTTTGCTTCCCATCTCAAAGCAGCAACTCATTTGCTTTAACCTCATCCACTGAGAGTCACTTTACAGAACATAACACTACACAGAGGCAAAAAAAGGGGCCACTCTTTGGTTTGCAAACAGTTTTCTGTGAAAGGATGATATTATCCAAATTCTCTTAAGGACTAAAAGCTCTCAAGAAATGAAAGTCCACTCAGTGTTACACAAGTAGCCCAAACAAATGAGTAGATGGCAAAAGGGCCAGTCCTCCCCCTGGTACACTTATCTAAGTGGCCAGTAAAGTACAGCTCTGCCCTCTTGTTTCCTGCAGGAGGATCAGGTCCTGATCGACCATGAACAGGAAAAGTCACAGATATTCTTTCTGCCCTCCATAACCAAAGCTGTGCCAAACCACAGGTGCTGCCTTCAACCTGACTCAAATTCCAGCCAAGACCTCTCACCTTCCAGACAATGCCTTCTCCAACAACCCCCAACACCAACCCCCCCAACCTCCTGCACAGAAGCCCTCAACACCTCGTCAGGACCCCGAGCTGTCCCTGTCCCTCCGCAGAGCTTTCCCACCCTCCAGCAGACACCCTGGTTCCCTGCACGTGCCGTGGGATGGCACTCAGGAGGGTCTGCTCCAAGGCCTTCCCTGGTGGCAAGCTCAGGCTGCCAGGCCTGTGGTTCCTGGACCACCCTTCCCACCGAGCCTTCCTGTGCACGGCTGTTCCATTGGCACCTTTGCTCAGCTCGGACTTCTCCACTTAACCAGGACTGCTGGTCAAGGATCCAGAGCAGCCTGGCCAGCTCTTTCTCCAGGTACCTCTTTACTCTCGGGGGAGGTAGAACATTGCACAGGAAAGCAGCTGGTGCCACAAGGAGTCTCAGGCACCTTTGGCAGTGAAACAAGGCCTTTGTTTGACCTAAGTAAGCACAAGCAATTCACATTAATAAACAAGTAATTAGCACAGACAGACATAAATACTTAGCACCAATTAGCATAAGAAAAACCTGTCTGGCCTAACTTGACATGAGAGTGACTTGACAAAAAGCTTTAGACATAGTCTGCCAGAAGAGCTAAGGGCAAGAACAGAATCAGCCCAGTGCCGGGAAGCCATGAGGAAGACTTTGTGCTTTCTAGGGCATCGAAACCACTCCTGGCCAGCACCTGGACATCAGCTTCGAGTATAGGAATCTGACACAATGTATTCCTAACCCCCTGCCTATTGAATAACTTCAGCAGCTTAAAGATGGATGGTATGTTTGATACAATTCCTACATCAACCCACTGAAATTTATATGTGGCAGAGAAACATTTTAGTGGGGTGCAGACTCCTGTCCTCCCACCAGGTCAATAAAAGGGCTTTTGGCAGACAATGCATTTGCCTGCCATATTTCTTTGAATGAAGGAGATCCCTCAGGACTGCTATATCCTGAGGGAACACCATTGGCCTTGACATGTAGGCACCTGCACAAGCTTAAAATCAGCTGCCTCAGTTTCCAGGACCTCTCTTGGCCAGCATCCTGACGTGGATGCAGGACTGCTACGAGGCATTTCTGGGACACAGCAAGACAGGACCGGCT